CCCTTAGGGCTGGTATGTATAGAAGAGGAACATGTGTTTCCTAAGATCAAGATTTTAATTCTTATTAACTTAAAAAAAAAAGAAAGAAAAAAAATTTACTGGCTGGCTTTGTCCCAGATAGGTAGAACTGAACTAAATCATAGGTTCTGCAATTTTGCAACTTTTCGACTGGATTTACTAGTTAGAGACTTCCATTTTTTATTTTAAAAAGTTTAACTTGTTCACTACTAATATTTACTGAAGGTTACTGGTATGGTTCATTACATAGTACAGGAAACAAGAACTCACAAGTTAGGACATACTAGAACTAAAAGCACTGATGAAATACTATGTTTACCCCTTTAACATATTTATATGTCCTTTTACCCAACATCTCAAGGAAAACCCCTGATAAGGTAAAGCCTGCTGTCTGCAAGATTCCACACACATTACAAATACAGTTCTTTCTCCCCTTGCAATTGTTTGCATCTGTTACTTGTCTACCTTGTGTCAAGCATGCATCATACAAATAAAAGCTAGAACTTTTCTAAATTTTATAAATTTAATAAATTGAAAGGCATGAAATCAGTGCTGTACTTCATAAGAATAGGGGTGAGGAGGCATATATGAGTGACACAGTAACACTCACAGGCATATGTAAGGAGGCCCTTTCTCACCTCAGGACCATCCCAATAAAAATTAAGTTTCTGACAACTGGAAGAAGGGTAATATAACCCCCATTTTCAAGAAGAGGAAAATGGAAGACCCAGGGAACTACAGACCAGTCAGTCTCACTTCTGTGCCTCACAAACTGTTGGAGCAGATTCTCCTGGAAAGCATGCTAAGGCACGTGAAAAACAATGAGGTGGCTGGTGACAGCCAGCATGGTTTCACTAAGGGGAAATCCTGCCTGACCAATCTGGTGGCCTTCTATAATGGGGCTACAGAACTGAGGGACAGCGGCAGAGCAGTTGACATCATCTACCTGGACTTGTGCAAAGCGTTCGACACTGTCCCACACGACATCCTTGTCTCTAAATTGGAGAGACATCAATTTGATAGATGGACCACTCAGTGGATAAAGAACTGGCTGGATGGCTGCACACAGAATGTTGCATCCAGTGGCTCAGTGTCCAGCTGAAGACTGGTAACACATGGTGCCCCTAAGGGGTTGGTGCTGGGACTGATCCTGTTCAACATTTTTGTCTGCGACATGGACTGTAGCAATAGGACAAGAGGTAATGGCTTTAAACTTAAACAGGGGAAGTTCAGGTTAGATATAAGGAAGAAGTTCTTTACAGTGAGGGTGGTGAGGCACTGGAACAGGTTGCCTAAAGAAGTTGTGAATGCTCCATCCTTGGCAGTGTTCAAGGCCAGGCTGGACAGAGCCTTGGGCAACATGGTCTAGTGTGAGGCATCCCTGCCCATGGGAGAGGGGCTGGAACTAGATGATCTCAAGATCCTTTCCAACTCAAACCATTCTACAATTCTAAATTCCAAAGTCCTACTACAAAGCAAAGGCATCACAATATTTCACTGAAACAGAACAAAAAAGCTGTTTTCCCATGCTTCATAGAACCATCTGAACACAGGCTTGCAACAGAAAACCTTAAGCAGTGTAACACACAAGGGTAGAAGCCTGTTATCTGCCAAAATTCCATAATGCCTATGCATTTATTATAGCTAAGTGCTCTATCTAATGACACATAAGTCAGAGTAGTGAGGCCTTTTAAGATCAAGACACCACTTTTGCTCCACTGACTGTTGTGGGCTCTGAACAGTTGCTTAATTTCAATATTGACTTTAAATAATTTCAAGTCTGGCTTATACGATGTCCAATAGAGGGGCCAAGAGAGTTAAAAGTAAAATGTAGAACAATGTTACAGAAACTTTCTAAAAATGTTAAAATCAGTATCACCATTCTGGAGTGGAAGAGTAACTATTTCCTGAACAGTGTTCTTCTGACCCTGCTGCACTGGAGCAACTATCATTTGAGGTAGAATACTGAAACCTTTCCCTTCCCTTCTGCACCTCCACTTACCTGCTGCATCACAAGACGGCAGACACATATTCCAAGAAACAACAAGGGTTCTCAAGCTGCTTGCACTCCCCCAACAAAAAAGTAAAAATATGGGACATCTGAATGGCCTTTCTTGGTTTTTACCTCTCAAGCACATACACACACATACGAAAAAAGTTGCTTCCACCACTAATAGTTGATGTTAAAATTGATGTTTACTGAAAAAGTCTGATATTTTTTAAGAAGTATTTTTATAAATCTATAGTATTGTGTCAGCGTGGTTAAGAAACATTATTCAAAATTAACCATCAGAAGACCTAGCAGTATCCAATAACTCACCAACATTTTTTGGGTTGGTGTGTAAAAATCATTACCACCATTTCTGAATTAAGCAAGAAACAAAAAAGTTTTCTAAGGAAATTACTTATAATTTGATAAAGATTGTTCAAAACCATTTTTAGATATTTTAGTGGTGTTAATAGCTTAATACCTTCTAGTTCTAAATACATTCAAACCAGCAATAAACGGAGGAGCACTAGTCTGCTCTGCCCAAATTGGTACCAGACAAGAGCAAAAAAGACTACAGATGGCAAACCTGTAAAGATAAGAAAATTGACCTTGAATTGAATGTTCCACCTTAGTGGCCAAGATACTCAGAGATCTTACATTCATGAAAAATAACATATCCGGAAGTAAACTTTCTAAATCTACCTACTCATATCAGATGATGCATCTGATGCATTAAATAGAGACAGAGTTTAAAAGCAGTATTCCACATTATCCACAATGTAACCGAAAAGCCTATGTTACTTGAAGAGATAATTCAAATAGAGAGCTTTTTTTGAGGACTGATGTTTTACTGTTGTTTTTTCTCCACACTGTTGTTGCATAAAGGTCACAACTGTGAAAAACACACAGGAGCAGGATCATGATCCCATGCCAAGACAGCTAAAATTAATTCCATTCCCAGCTTTGTGAATGACTTGCAAATTGAGTAACAAAATTACTTTATCTTTTTCTGTTCATCTGTATAATGATACTTACTTACTTCACTAGGTTGTCATGGAAACTAATTATGGGTATGTTAATATTTAGGAAGCATCATATATCCATTCCCACAAAAATCTGTCCTACAGTAGCTTGACTAAATTTTTCAGGACAACAATTATCTATCCTTTTTTTTTGTTTGTACTGTTCCCAGAACAATAGGGTCTTAATCCTTGACTTGGAGAGCTAGACACCATTGAAACATAAATAATTAACAAACAATAATGAGTTGAGAGGTTTAGTGAAGTGTTATCCTTCCCAGAGCTCTAAGGCACAGAACATTTAAATGACCAGGATTTGGCCAATGCAAAGGGAACTGGGGACAAGGAACCATAGCCCTGGTTGCTTGCTAACAACTTTGGTGGCTTGTTCTTGAAAGAGCAGAGATACAAAAAAGACAACTGATGGAATGCATATGTGAGAAGAGAACACTATTCAGACAGCATAGGGACTGAAAATATAGTTGCCTTTTGAGCAAGGCATTCAGTGCAAAAGCTTTTCATGTGTTTGCCAGCTCCACTGTATTTGCAAACTAGGAGCAAACACAGCAGGAAAAAATAGGGGTTTGTTTGGGGATTTGTGTTTTGTTGGGTTTTTCTTTTTTGAGAAACAACATAAACATGCAATTTGCAAAAGAGATACACCTCAAAAAGAAAGGAACAGTTGTATAACCAACAGTAGCTGTTGTCTCTTGAGATGTGTTCTATGTACATATATGCTGCCTTTATCATTAGTATGCCCACTAAATTGAAGCTGAAGTCTCACTTTCTAAGTGACTGTATCAGCTGCGTGTTATTGTATACACTAAGAACATCCCCCCTGCTTCCCATCAAAAGTAAAAAGGTTGGAGCTAGTCCAACCACTTGAGTAGCTCTTCATCTTGGACAGCACTTCATCTTCAGCATCTAAGGATAGCTTCAAGTATCAAGCATAAAGGGTATGACATGGAATTCATGCCAAAATTTCTAAGTAAAACAAGTACTGAACATTAAGCAACTGTTTTTTCTTCATTGCTTGTCCACACCATTTATTCTGCTTTGGTGACTTCTAAGCTACATACTCTCTGAAGGTGGGTATCAGTAATTTGGGCTTGTTTACTCTAGAAATGAAAGACCTACGGGAAGCATGACTGTCATCAGCACTGGAGTGAACAATAATTCTTGCAAGTGAAAAATGAAGAAACACTCTGCTTCCAGTCCGGCTGGAAGATACCTGGAGGACAGGCAATTTCCACAAGGTGATGAATGAAAAGGAAGTAGAATGCTGAGACCTGAGACGAAAGCCTGGAGTGTTTCCAGTAAACTGTGAATGCAGGGTGGGGCAAATGAAAGCAGTGTTCAAGAGGGATAAAAGCAAAACAGTTAGGGATTAATATACTACCAGCAATTTTTATTTTCTTAAACAAAGATGATGTTAAAGCAATATATTAGGAAAAAAATGAGAATTACAACAGATACTTCAGTAAATATTATTTTCAGCCAGTAATTAAAGTATGCACAATACACAAGCAACACAAACATCTACTTACCTATATGTATCAATATTATTGCAATATTTTAGACCAGACTGTATCTCATCATATTATTAATGTCATTATTAAACTGTGCATCCAAAACTCTTGATACTTGGTCAACAACACACACCTAACTTTAAACACATTAACCCACTCATTTAAGTAATGTATTTAATGAACAATAAAAATTAAAACAAATCTGTCTAACAGTTTAGACCCCCCCTCATCTCCTCTTGCTTTTGGCAGTTTGATATTAAAAAACTTGAAGACATTAAAATAGGAAACATTTTCATCAAAAGACTATAGAGAAGTAACATGCACACAGTTGTGATCTGAAATAGATGCTCAATCCCAATTTTTGAAAGAAGAGAAATAGTTACCGTTTTTTTTGTTTAAACTAAACTAAATGGAAAAAAGTCTTAGAAAGTCTCAAAGTCTTACCTGTTGGTAAGCTTCATAGATTATGTCAAACAAGAAGGCCTGAGGCATTTCACTCGCTCTGTACCTGGCACGTTCCAATGAGTGATCTAGGCAGCCATCTGCAGTGGAGGCAATAACAGTAGAAACCAGAGGACGAATTGCTCCTGCTGCCTGTGGAACAAAACACAGAGAGAGGCCTAAGTGTTGCTAATATTAAAGTCTATCAAGAGTGCTGCAGTCAAAAAAGGTAAAGGAGTTTCAAAATATATTTTCTACTTATCTTTTATATATCTCATAATGCATAAGTCATACTAAAGTCTGTATGAGACTTTTAACATGAATAAAGCAATGGAAGACTGTATAAGTAAGCACACAGAGAGGAACAACTAACAAAAAAAAAAAATCTTAACTCCTTCATAAACATCTACTGCAAATATAATTACAGATCTGAGTTCAGTTTTCAGACTTTCTTCTATATGCATATTAGGTGGTTTATGTGAGGACAGTTTTAGGCCTATTCAGATATGAAACAGCAGGAGACACACCTGAGAGATCTTGACAATCCACAATGTGTATAGATTTCACACTTTTCAATCTGGCTAAACAGCTCAGAAATCAGCAACAAAAAAAGTTTCAGAAAATTGAGCTTGTTCCTCCATGTAGAATTCACCCTGTGAAATACTGAGTAACAACACTTATCAGAGTATACTGGGAACACAATTCATACATTAGAAAGCATTCAATCTGCAGCAGCACTGTGCCCCAGAACAGATATTTAAATGCTTGTATTTCAGTTTTGGGTTTGCTTAGGTTTTAAACCAACTAAACATGTATCTTTCACCTTCTCATCAATATATAGTATTAAAGATCTCTGGCATCTCTGGAACAGAACTCTCCTAGCTGGTTTTAGTCATTTTGATACCAGAAAGTCACCCAGACATCATCAGTCACTTATCAAATGTTCACATGAACTTACATGAAGCTAAAAGCAATTGGGAAAAGAGCTGTCCATACAGTTAAGAAGAAAAGGATAAAATGTCAGAATATTGCTTATCAAGTCACAGGGTAAAAAGCATGCTCCATAACAATACCAACCACTGAGAATGACATCCTTAGACTATACAGTTTATTAGCAATTTTTAATGATAATAAAAAAGAATACACCTAGAAAACCACTCTCAATGGTGAATTCTGACACTTTTCACTGCAACCACAGATCATCGGATGTCTAGTGAGCTTTGACACAGTAAAAAATTAGGCCTCATCACATAAATGAAGAACACTGCCCTCATACATATGAGTCCTGTCCATTCTTACAAGATTTCTGACCTCAGATAAGCAGAGAGTGGCAGAATGAGACACCAAAAGTGAGCCCAAAGTCCTTTCTCTTCTGAGAGGAAAAAAGCTAGTTGTCTTCCCTCCTCCCCCTCACACTACTGAACAATAAAACAAAGAGGAATGCAGTCAGTGTGTTGAGCACTTTACGAGCTCTAAATTACAGCTTCTTAATTAATTCTTTTGCAGAATGAGGACAAAGATGTGAACCAATATCTCATGCCCGAAGAGTTCTGATATGCATGAACTACTGGGGCAGGGTGAAGGGAGAAAAAAAATATTCAAAAGATTCATATGATGATAAATATCTGAACCACTTTCTCAAAATCTGAATAGCACTTTTTCTTTCTAATACATAGGAAGAGCTATCTATACAAAATACTACATAAAGTAAAACACTATCATCCAAAGGCACAACATGGTATAGAAAGATCAGCAAGAGCTATGAAATCACAGAACTGTCTGTAAAGGATCTTGAGAAGTCATCCAGTTCATCCTTCTGTCCAAGGCTGGATTAATTTTACTTCTGCAATAGAAAAGACAAACTGACAAAACTAAACACCACTATAATGTTAGCAATACATCCATGTATTAAACTAAACACCACTATAATGTTAGCAATACATCCATGTATTAAATGAGGAGTAAATTTAACAGATGTAATTTGAGAAAAAACAATACACAAGTAGAAGTAGAGTGATTAAATTACCTGCAACTTATCCTCTATTTCCTATGATTCCAGGACATGGATTATTACCTCCATGTCCCAGCTGATGGGCATTTGGACTACATTATTTTGCTCTGCTGTCATATTTTAATTGGTCACACAGAGAAAAAAAAGTTATAAAATTAGAAGGTCATGGGAAAAGAGAGAGAGCAGTGAGCTAGCCACAGCTTTTCTGTAATTAGTTAAATCTATTTGATTTTTTTTTTCTGAAGCACTTACCATTCCAGAAAACCAGCTAGCGAAAGAGGATTTCATAGGCTCATCCAATATTTTATTACAGTTTTTAACAATCATATCGTGTTACATTTTAACCATAAAACAGGCCAAAAGAATACAATGTGACTTGCGTAACCAAATCTCACAAGTGAAACATGCACTCTGAGGAACAAATAACCAAACTGCAATTCTAAATAAAATTGAAATACTCAAAATTACGTTCTTAAAAGAGCTCTGAAACACATTGTTTTCTTGACATCTGGTTTATTGCACAATAAAAATTCATAAATGTCTCTATCAGAATGTGACAATACTGAACCACATCTCCTGCTCTGCTGAGGCCTAGCTCTTCCAGAAAATTCAGAAAGATCCAATTTCTAATAACTCCAAACATGTCATTTTTTTAAGCACCCAATGAACTTCTCAAGTAATTGAAAGCTTCATGGCACCTAAAATTTAACAAATTGCATTTTCAAACAACCACAGTTTTTCTCTACACTACCCCAGAATCAAGTTCAGCATGTCAGGCTGAGAAGTTTCCACCGTCTTTCCTCCATTTTAATGAGAAATCACAAGCTGGGCACAAGAAGATGTCTTCTGCAGCACACCCACTTAAACTATACCTGTCACTGACTAAAAACATGAAGTTTAACATAAAGAATAAGATTTAAGGCTGACTTCTGATGATGCAAGGGAGAGAGAAATTCTAACTATGTATGCAGTAACAAGGTAACTAGCAGTCATTTGATTAAAAAAAAAAAAAAAAAAATCAGCTTTTATTCCAAAAAAGGACAACTCAGTCCTTGACTACTCTATGCAATAAAAGCAAAATGCAGAGCTCTAGTCCTTACTACAGCCAGGAAGTTTCTACTGCACAGAAAACCTTCATATGATGAGCAGCTGGGGTCCAAAAGCTGTGAACCCCTGAGCTACAGCATATTTACTAAGGTGCAGCACTGAGTTGAAATGTTAAAATCCTGTGACAAGATACAGAAATTGGTTGGTTGTTTTGCTCAGTACTGGCTCACCTTTCTGCAGGACCTTTCTCTGCCTCAGCACACACACACTGGGCAGAAAAGAGATTCAGAGCAGCCCTGCAGAGAAGGACTTGGGGGTGGTGGTTGATGAGAAACTCAACATGAGCAGGCAATGTGTGCTTGCAGCCCAGAAAGCCAACTGTATCCTGGGCTGCATCAAAAGAAGTGTGACCAGAAGGTCGAAGGAGGTGATCCTGCCCCTCTACTCTGCTCTCGTGAGACCCCACTCAGAGTATTGTGTCCAGTTCTGGTGTCCTCAACATAAAAAGGACATGGAGCTGTTGGAGCAAGTCCAGAGGAGGGCCAAGAGGGTGAGATAAAGGGCCTGGAGCACCTCCCTTATGAAGACAGGCTGAGGAAGTTGGGGCTGTTCAGCCTGGAGAAGAGAAGGCTGCCTGGAGACCTCATAGCAGCCTTCCAGTATCTGAAGGGGGCCTACAAGGATGTTGGGGAGGGACTCTTCATTAGGGACTGTAGTGGTAGCATAAGGGGTAATGGCTTTAAACTTAAACAGGGGAAGTTTAGATTAGATATAAGGAAGAAGTTCTTCACAGTGAGGGTGGTGAGGCACTGGAATGGGTTGCCCAAGGAAGCTGTGAATGCTCCATCCCTGGTGGTGTTCAAAGCCAGGTTGGACAGAGCCTTGGGCGACATAGTTTAGTGTGAGGTGTCCCTGACTGTGGCAGGGGGGTTGGAACTAGATGATCTTAAGGTCCTTTCCAACCCTAACTATTCTATGGGCTCCCTCAACCAGATGATGTGACCCAACACAGGGCTGAGTTTACCGCCTAATGCGACTTTCAGTCTGGGTGAAACTGGAATCAAGCAAAGGAAAATCTTGGCCTGTGTATGCCCTGCATTGTTTTTGTATGGGACAAGACAGCTGAGTCCCTAACACAGGAAACCTTGTGTCTGCAGTACTTCTGCCAACTTTTTGTAGCTGGCATATGCTGACACAGCTGCCAAACCCAAGTTGGCGTACACAGACCTCACCACACGTGCTTCTGCTTCCAAACTTGGCTCACAGGTATCTTCATTCATGGTGTAAACATAATATTTGGCATGTAAAAACAGAAGAATTGAGCTGTGAATTTTGTTCTCATATACAGGCCAAAGAAAGGAACAGCTTAAGATGTATAGCTCATTCTGTGGTATTCCCTTCTGGTTAACACAAGCATCCTCCCTACTCAGCACAAAGCCTTTTCTGAATCCCATTCCTAGCAGTCTTGCAATGAACTGAACAGGGAACTTAGGTACTTAAGACAGGGCTACATTACATGTTTAGGACAACATAGGGCAACTAATACAGTAAGGTACTACTGTATCTAATGGGCTTTTGCCCCTGATGACTGTGGGGTATAAGTGAAGAACACAATCATCCAGCTAGTCTACCTCTAATCAGTTACAACATCAAATATTTTATTCTTTGCAAGGAACTTCCATGTTATTTTTCTGGTTATAAATCAGTAACAAACATCTATTTCCATATTAGTAAAGAGAATATATACTGAGTATCAAGTATATGAATTTTATTTGTTCTAATTTGAGAAGCTTTGACTTGCTATTTATGTCAGGAATGTACAGGTATTTGGCCCGGGGTCTCAGGTAAGAAGTTCAGACATGAATTAAAAAAAAAAAAAAAAAAAAACCAATCAAAGAAAAATCTGTCCTCATGTAAAATCATAAGTTCTTGTTACTGTCACTACTGTCATCACAGTTTTACAGACTTTTTTTTTTTTTTTTTTTACACTTTGAATTAGCCCACTCAAAATACAAATCCCGTGAGTCTAAAGCAAGTGTCTGGGTCTTACACTAGCATTTCCCTGCTCAGAGCACTCATCTTCCACCATCTGGCC